TTTCAGCAGAAAGGATATCCTAGTTTATAGTTTGAATTCTTCAGAGCCCATGTTTTCTATCAAGCTGGGATGTTAGCTGCCATGTTACTGAGTATCTGGGCGAGAGCGATAATAGAGTCGGTAGGGTCTGCCTTGCATGGGTCAAACTTGGTTCTGTCCCTGAAATCCCATATGGCTCATTGAGCTGCCAGAAGTTATCGCTGAGTGCAGTGCCAGGAGTAAGCCCTCGCATCTCACATCCCGAGCTAACCCTCCAAATACCCTTTACTTGGTGTTCCCTTCTCTATCTGAGCTGGCTTTTCCCCCAGCATCTACTGCTAGCTTCCAACCCGTGGAGCAGACTTCCTGGTACTTATCTCAGCTATTCTTGGGTGTTAGTCTCCCATTCTGTTACTTTGTATTCCCAGATGAGTACAGTCTTTCTATGTCTGTCCTTCTTTTTCTGAACTCATTCTACTTTCCATGTAGAACCACTTGTATGCAAACTTCATGACTTCATCTTTTCTAACAGCTGTAGAGTATCCCATTGTGTAGATGTACCAAAATTTCTTTAGTCAGTCATCTGTTCTTGGGCATTCAGGTTTTTTCGAGATTTTGGCTGTTGTGAACAGTGCAGCAATGAACATAGAAGTGCAAATGTCACTTCGACTATACTTTTTTGCATCTCTGAGATATATTCCCAGGACTGGTATTTCTGGGTCAAATGGGAGCTCAATTTCTAATTATTTGAGAATCGTCCATACTGTTTTCTAAACGGACTGAGTTAGTCGGCATTCCCTCCAGCAGTGAAGGAGAGTCCCTTTCTCCCCACATCCACGCCAGCACAGGTTGCTTATGTTCTTTTGGATGTGGGCAAGTCTCTGTGGTATGAGATGATATCTCATTGTTGTTTTGATCTGCATCTCCCTGATGATTAGTGGTGTAGAGCATTTTCTCATGTGCCTTTTTGCCATTCAGATTTCTTCTTTGACAAAGTTTCTGTTCATTTTGTTGCCCCATTTTTTGTTGGGGCTGTATGTTTTCTTCTAGTGGAGTTCAACCAGTGTTTTGTATATCTTTGATATCAACCCCTTGTCGGATGGGTATTGGGTGAATATCCTTTCCAATTCTGTAGACTGTCTTTGTATTTTGGTCACTGTTTCTTTTGAGGTGCAGAAGCTTCTTAGTTTAAGACAGTTCCATTTGTTTATGTCTGTTTTCACTTGCTTGGCCAGTGGTATGTCATCTTTGAAGATACCATTAGCTTCAATGTCATGGAGAGTTTTACAAATTTTGTCTTCAGTGTACCTTATGGATTCTGGTCTGATTTTGAGCTCTTTAATCCATTTTGATCTTACTTATGTACATGGTGTTAGGCAGAGATCTGAGCCCATTTTTTGCATGTAGCTGTCCAGTTTTTCCAGCACAATTTGTTAAAGAGGTATTTCTTGCTCCACTTCACATTTCTTGCCCCCTTATCAAAGATTAGATGATCATATATTTGGGGGGTCGTGTCAGTATATTCAACCCTGTTCCATTGGTCTGTGACTCTGCATTTGTTCCAGTACCATGCTGCTTTAATTATTATGGCTTTGTAGTAGAGTTTGAGGTTGTGGAAGTTGATTCCTCCCATTTTCTTTTTCCCAAGAATTTCTTTAGCTATTTGTGGGTGCTTATTGTTCCATATAAATTTCAGGAGTGTTTGCTCCATTTCTTTGAAGAATGTCATGGGTATCATTATAGGGATCATATTGAATGTGTACAATTCTTTGGGGAATATTGCCATTTTGACAATGTTAATTTTCCCAATCCATGAGCATATCTCCCTAATACTAAAAAGAAACAAAGGCACTACAAGAAAAGAAAACTGTGAACACTGATGTGAATATTCTCAACAAAATACTAACAAATAGAATTCAATAAATTATCAAAAAGATCATACACCACAACTAAGTGGGATTCATCCTGGGGATCCAAGGATGGTTTAACATTCAGAAATCAATCGACATAACCCATCATATCAACAAAAGAAAAGATAAAAACCACATGATCATATCATTAGATGCAGAGAAAGCAGGAAATAAAAGAGGACATAAGAAAATTATTGTTCGTTAGAGTAGAAGATTTTGAATCAAGTTTCATATTTCAAGTTTGCTTGCTCTTTCTTCTGCTCACTGAAGTATAGTACCTACTCCAAAGTCTAGTGAATTTTTCATTTTGGATTCTGGAATGTTAACCCTCAGAATTTTAATTTGTTTCAGTTGTTTGTTTACCACTACTTTCCACTTAATTATAGAGCATTATAATATTTTCATTGTTTATTTTTTAGGTCTGATTATCTTTAGTTCTCTTGGATATATTTGTTCTATTTGATTTGGAGTCTTCCTGCGAAATCCAAAATTTATGTTATCAGTGCTCTGTACAGATAAGTAGCACTGTAGCACTGTCCTACCATTGTTCATCGATTTGCTTGAGCGGGCACCAGTGACGTCTTCATTGTGAGACTTGTTGTTACTGTTTTTGACATATCGAATATGACACGGAGAGCTTGCCAGGCTCTTCCGTGCATGCAGGATACTCTCGGTAGCTTGTCGGGATCTCTGAGAGGGACTGAGTAATCGAACCCAGTTTGGCTGAGTGCAAGACAAACGCCCTACCTGCTGTGCTATCACTCCAGCTGTACAGGTAAGTAAAATAATTTATTGGTCAGAAAAAAACTAGAAATTTACTAGGGCACACACTCAGGTGCGGACAGTACTCCCCCCAAAAACAGCAACTGCATTAGGCAGGCAGTGGGATGTAAATATTTCAGACAAGATGGTTCTGCACTCGTTGAGAGTTGTCTTATATAAAATATGGGATGTCAAGGTCCACTGAGAAAGTCAGGGAGTATCAGTTGCTCCCAGGAGGCAAGTTTTCCACTTATGGAGTCTGGAGCCCCTGCTGTGAAAATGTTAATTGGACAAGATCATTCATTAACAGCCCAGTGTACTGAAGGAGAAACTTTCTATTGGCTGCTTTATTTCCTGTAAATGGTATGGGCATTATTTATTTTGTATCCTATTTTTTGTTAAAAACGGACATTTTGAGTACTATAAGGCTGAACCCAAGAAGTCTAGATGCTTGTAGGAGTTATCCCCCCCCATCCTTTTATTTTTATTTACTCAGCATCAGATACAGTTACAAAGTTTTTCATGATTGGGTTTCAGTCATAGAATGTTTCATCACCCACCCGTCACCAGTGTACATTTACCAGCACCAGTGTCCGCAGTTTGCCTCCTCCCCCAACCAGCCTCCATCTATGGCAAACACTTTTCTTTTCCACTCTCCTTTCTCCTCTCTCTCTCTCTCTCTCTCTCTCTCTCTCTCTGTCTCTCTGTGTCCTTCCTTTTTGACATTTGGTTTGCAATACAGACACTGAAAGATTATCATGTATATCACTTTACATTGTTTCAGCACTCAGTTCTTTATAAAACTGTATAGAAGAGCTATAGGAGTTACTAACATTACTCTAGATTCCCTGTATTTTTTGTTCCTAATTTACTGAGTGACTTTTAAATAAATCTGAAAAGTCTATAATTTGTACTGTATACAACCAAGATACCTGTGTATCATTGGCTTACTGGTCAACTAGTAATTTTTTAAATGATCTTCTTAAATGACCTGAACCAAATGAGTAATCTTCTGAATTTTGCTAGGGAACTGCTGGAGTATTCATCAATTCTCTGGTTTTGTAAATTAGGCTTTACTCCTTGCTTTATGCAGAGGGCTGCAAGCTCACTAGAAATAAGAGATTAGGTGTGCCTTAGTATTTTGTGGCTATACACATAGTCCTGCTCACACTTTCATATTCCCATAAATATGTTGAAGCTTTGCAAATCCTGCTATGAATATCTCATCCCCCATATTTTCTCTTCATGCTATTTGCATATTTTCTTTTTATTGTTGTTTTGTATGTGCTTTATTTTGTAATTGGTATTACTACCTCATGAAACTAAATGTTATGCTAGTGTGGCTGATTACAGCTAAAAAATGACCTAAGAACCGAGCAGCTTGAATTGGTCATACTTTGAGTCAAGTTAAATAATGATAAGTTATTTAAGTTGGACTTTTTCCAAGACATTCCAGAGAGAGCAAAGAATGACAGTTCTTTATAAATCAGTGCCTGTGTCCAGATGAAAACTCATAACTTCCTTTATTGACTGCTCAGCTGTACATTTTCACAGCTGTTCTAGATCTATCTGTTGGGCTTTGAGCTTACACAAAACTGGAGATAATGGAATGGGAAAAAATCCAACTTTTTACAAAATTGATTATTAAAAATATTTGGCAACTTTTATAACATAAGCTTTTCTTTTTATAGGGTTTTTACTTTGTAAACATTTCTTTATACAAGGCCAGCTTTAATATTTTTAAATGCTGATTTTTTTTACTATTACAAGCATTCTCACTGCTTTTATAGAAAAGGGAATTATTCAGAAGTTTTTAATATGCCTTTCCAAAAGTACTTTTTTCTCAACTGGATATTCTTTTTGAGAAAAAAATAAATATTTTCCCCACAAATTAAGTGTTAGATATTTAGTAAATAATATTTCACATACTTTGTAACTATGTAATGTAGGTTTCTCTTGTTTTCCTTCCAATTGTGTTAAATATATTTGTAATCTAATGAGTTAATGAAAGAAATAAATTTAGTTATTGTTTTCTCTTTTTCTTACTCTCTCTATTTCAAGTAAAATATTAAAAATCCTCATAAGACAAAGTACATAGTGATCTACTCAAATAACTGGGTATTGTGAAATTGCATGTTAAAAATTTGAATTTAATTCTGTGAAATGAATTTATATCTTTACTACTCTGGATATTCTAAAATCTTGCCTAATGACTTTAACTTTTTACTTTGCAATTTGTTTAACCATTTACAATACAAGAATAATAAGATAGAATAGACTTTTGTCAATCTCACAGTTTCTGTGTTCCACTTACATTTTTTCAAGCACTTTATCAATGATATATGATATATGTGCTGGCCGGTGGAGGGAGTTGGCACTGGCTCTGGGTCGCTGTCGCCGCCCGGATCCCGTGCTCCACGGACCGCCGGTGAAGAGGGCCGGCTGGCTGCTGACGTGTCTTTGGGATGGAGCACAACTTCACCACCAAGATTGAGCAAGTGAAATTACTTGATCGATTCAGTACCAGCAATAAGTCATTAACAGGAACACTGTATCTTACAGCTACACATCTATTATTTATAGACTCATCAGAAAGCACAGTGGGTAGGGCATTTGCCTTGCACGCAGCCAACATGGCCGACCCGAGTTTCATTCCTCCGCCCCTCTCGGAGAGCCCAGCAAGCTACCGAGAGTATTCGATATGCCAGACACAGTAACAACAAAGTCTCCAATGGAGACGTTACTGGGCCCGCTCGAGCAAATCGATGATCAACGGGAGGGCCTTTACTTTACTTTACTTTACATATTGCTTCAGTAGAGAAACTGGCTTTGACTACTTCGGATGCCCACTTGTGATTCAGTGCAAAAACTTCAGGATTGTGCATTTTATTGTTCCCAGAGAAAGAGATTGCCATGATATTTACAACTCTTTACTACAACTGTCAAAACAAGCAAAATATGAAGATCTGTATGCATTCTCTTATAATCCTAAACAAAATGATTCAGAACAAATACAAGGTTGGCAACTCATTGACCTTTCTGAGGAGTATAAGAGGATGGGAGTGCCAGACTCAAACTGGCAGTTGTCTGATGCCAACAGAGAATACAAGATTTGTGAAACTTACCCCAGAGAACTCTATGTTCCCCGAATTGCAAGCAAACCAATAATTGTGGGTAGTTCCAAGTTCCGGAGCAAGGGAAGATTCCCAGTTCTTTCCTATTACCATCAAAAAAAGGAGGCTGCCATTTGTCGATGTAGTCAGCCACTGTCAGGATTCAGTGCCAGGTGCCTGGAGGACAAACATTTGCTTCAAGCCATTAGTAAAGCCAATCCGGTCAATCCTTACATGTATGTTGTGGATACCAGGCCCAAACTGAATGCAATGGCCAACAGAGCTGCTGGTAAAGGCTATGAATGATATATGAAAAGCTCTCTAAATTGTTGTTTCATCCTGTATTTAATATGCTGTATGGTTATTGTGGCCCGTAAGGGCAGTCTCCTGCCCCCGCGCCTGGCTGTCCTTGCCAGGGCCCCTTGGAGGGGAGCGGGTTGAGCTTTCCTCCCCACCCCGACCAGGGCTCCAACAGCCGAAGACCTCCACGACCAGCCACCACCATTCTGAGACCACTCTCTGCACACATGAAGGTACTGGCAGAGGGACAAAGCCACACGAGTTCTGGGGCCGAGATCTCCAAGTCTACTCAGATTTGGGCCGAGCATCCTCCACCCAGATCCTCCAAATTCCAGTAGGCCGGGGTCACACCCACCAACTGGCCCCCTGGCGCCGTGTAATCCCATCAGCAGCCAAGACTCAGAGACTATAAATACCAGCTCCCGGAACCGCGTGGCCGCATTTGCGGCCGCACAACATCTTATTATAACATCATATTATCTCATTCCTACTTTGGACAAACTGGCAAGCTACCGAATGTAGCCTGCCCACACGGCAGAGTCTGGCAAACTCCCCGTGGCGTACCCAATACGCCAAATACCAGTAACAATGATGGGTCTCAGTCTCCTAAAGAGCCTTGAATATAATCTCAGGGCTAGGATGAAGGAGACGCTACTGGGGCCTGCTCAAGGCAATCAACGATTATCAGTATGGTTGTGATTCGTGATTCATCACCGTTATTGTAAAACGGGGGTTTGGGGAGTCTTTGATAATAATTTCCAGGTAACAAATACTCACACAAAACAGCCACAAAACAGGAATACCTGACTCTTATTCAATAGTCGTGGGTAAAGAGCAGAGGGTATTGCAAGGTTTGCAATTGCATCACAGATATCATTGACAAATGCTTTTATTCAATTGAAAAATACCTCTGACCCACAGATTGGTTTGAACTGCATAAATTTAACTACATAATATTAACCAACACAATAATTGTATTATTTAACTAAGTGTTTTAACTCGCAAGCTAAGGAACCTGTTTAAATGCTAGCTCAATTTAAAGCATAGAAATTTGAAGAATGGTATCATATTTGAAACATATTTTCTCAAGCCAACAAATGCTAAAGACTTTCTTCCTCTTGGTAAGGCTTTCTTCCACTTGGTAAGACTTTCTTTTCAAAAACACAGGATTCTACTTTCCTGTGCACAGTTTTTTTTTATTTTACCCACAGTAATGATGTTTGTAGCTGCTATGGTTTGAATATTTCTGTCTCTTCAAAAAGTATGTGTTAAAACAATAATCACTGAAATTGCTCTTAGGAGGTGGGTACTTTAGGACATAATTAAGTCAGGAGTATGTTTTTCACATGAATAGTATTATTACTTTATAGAAGAAACTCCAGAAAGATCTCTAGAGATGCCAACATGGGAAGATATAGTGATACAATTATGGCTTGTACCCCAGCTCCAAGCTCTACAAAAGAGTTCACAAGTTTATAGCTTACCCAAAATGCTGCTGTCTTGATGTAAGACTCATAGTATCCAGAACCATCAGAAGGAAATTTGTGGGTTTTCTTTTTAATTTGTTTTTTTTTTTGCTTTTTGGGTCACACCCAGCGATGCACAGAAGTTACTCCTGTCTCTGCACTCAGAAATCACCCCTGGCGGTGCTCAGGGGACCATATGAGATGCTGGGATTTGAACCCGGGTTGGCCGCGTGCAAGGCAAATGCCCTACCCGCTGTGCTATTGCTCCAGTCCCTGTTTTTGAGATTTTATGGGCCTCCCCAGGTGTGTTTGGGTTCCTGGGTCTACATCCAAAATAGTGTTCAGCACAGGAGGTCATGGAGTGCTGGGGTTCCAATTCAGTGCCCTGAAAATGCCCAACAATTTCCTCAGCCCTTTTATTTTACTTTGTATCAAGGTAACATCAGTTTACCACAGTGCATGTTTGTATGTTTTTGAGATGATGTGTTACTACATCAGTCCACCATAAATTACCAATATCTATGCATCACTGTCCATAGCATTCCCCAAATCTTTAACTTTAGTTCTATTATGAGAGTATAAAGGTGTATTTATTTTTAGGACCACACCTGGCAGTGCTAGGTACTACTCTCAGCTCACTGCTCAAGAATTACTCTGGGTTATGCTTGGGAGATCATGACTTTCTGGGGATTGGGGTCATGAAAAGCATGTACTTCAGTCCTTTGAGCTCTCTCTCTGAACGCTCTTTTCTTGGTTCTTTTTAGCTTCTCAGACTCATATATTATTACAGCCACATAAACAAACTAAGGCAATAACAACAGTAGTAATGCTGATGGTAGCAGTAGTAGTAGTAGAGGTAGTGATGGTAGAAATTGAAGCATTTACTATGTGTGGTTGACTGTGGCATCCTATAATTGATGCAGTTTAACTGCATTTGCTTGTTTATCATAATAGCTCTGTGTTAGATTCTATAACATTTATTTTGCATAGGAAGTAGTGAATGTATTCTAGTTAGGAAATGACAAGTTCCAAGAATGAAACCAAGTCTGCCTCTCTGCCTAGGAAACTAAAAATTTTCATACTCTTTCTTAGTGCTTCTAAAATAAACCAAATTCAAGGGTAAATATAAGCAAAGCAAAGATAAAACAGTGAATAAGGACAAAGAAATTCACAAAAGCGAGAGGAATAAATGTAAAACCATCAGACAAATTTCAATACACTGTCCATTGCCTTGTCATTATAATCTAGATCCTGAACTTCTATATACGACATATTATTAATCACTTCACTTCACTTAACTTCCCGTTAGTCGTCAATTTGCTCGAGCGGGCGCCAGTAACGTCTCCATTTGTCCCTGTTGCGTGCTAGTGTAGCCTAATGGCATCTGTTCGCTCCGGGAACAGAAGGGCCTCAAACCGATCGTTCATGATCTTGACAAAGAAGTCTGACCATCTGGAAGGTGGGCGGCCAGGCGGTCTTTTGACATCCCGTGGAACCCAGTCTGTAACAGCTCTAGTCCAGCGGTCGTCTTTAAATCTCATTACATGACCAGCCGATCTGATTTTCGACACCTTGGAAAATGAGACAGCGTCCCTGATTCTTGATCATCGACGGATGTCAGAACTCCGGATTCTTTCTCTCATTTGAGTGAAACGTGATATTCCAAGCATAGCTCTTTCTATTCTTCTTTGGGAGACCTGAATAGCATTCTCATCTTATTTGTGTAGGGCCCAGGTCTCTGAGACATATGTTAATGCAGGAAGAACAGTGAAATCAAAGAGATGTGCCCAGAGCCGGAGGTTCTTCGTCCTCTTAGCTATTTCTTCGACGTTCTTGAAGGCGTTCCAAGCCGCTCTCTTCCTCCTGCGCAGCTCGGGTGCCAGGTCATTTGCCATGTTGACCTCTCGACCTAGGTACACATAGCTGTTGCATTCAGAGATGGTCGTTCCATTGAGAACGAATGGGGCATCAGGAACAAGGCTGTTGCTCATAAACATTGTCTTCGTAAGATTCAGCTGTAGTCCTATATTTCCACACTCACAGTCAAAGTTGGCCAGCATTTGTGCCGCTTGGCTGATGTTTGGTGTTATTAAAACAATGTCATCAGCAAAGCGGAGGTGGTGTAATTGCCGACCATCTATCTTCACTCCCATTCCTTCCCATTCCAGTCGTCACATGATGTTCTCGAGGGTGGCACTGAAGAGTTTTGGTGAAATGGTATCACCCTGCCGCACCCCTCTCTTGACATCAACGATCACTTCTTTGTAGAATGGTGAGATCCTGGTAGTGAATCTGCAATACAGCTCACGGAGGATCCTGATGTATTGGGCTTGAATGCCCTGATTGGCTAGGGCTTCAATGACCGCTTCCGTCTCAACAGAATCAAAGGCCTTCTTTAAATCAATGAACGTTAAACAGAGCGGCATCTTGAACGCCTGAGAAACCTCAATGAGCTTGGTTATTGTGTGGATATGGTCGATGGTGCTGAATCCTTTGCGGAACCCTGCTTGCTCGCATGGTTGTCCTTCATCTAGTGTTCTGCCAATCCTATTCAGGATGACTCGAGTGAACAACTTGTAGATGACAGACAATAGGCAGATCAGGCGATAGTTGCCAATGTCATGGATGTCTCCCTTCTTGAACAGTAGTACGGTAGCAAGTGAAGATCCAAGCCAGTGTATTGATGAGTACTGACGGCAAGTTCTTTAGGTGTTCAGGTCTGACCTTGTCTGGGCCGGGTGCTGTTTGTTTCTTTACCGACGATATGGCGTGTTGGATTTTGGAAGGGAGAACGTTGGGAACGACATATCTATCCTGTGGAATTTGGTATGTCGGCAAGTGGACATGGCTATTGAAGAGATTTGAGTAGAAGTCATGGATAATCTTCTCCATTGCCGTTCTGGAGAATGTGATGGATCCATCAGGACGTCGGAGGGCAGTCATCTTGGTCTTATAGTTGACGAAGGACAGGCGGGCGTTACGAATACTTTTCCCGGCTTCTGCTGCATCTACCAGTACTTCTGCTCTTCTCTCTTTGAGGTCTTCCTTGATCGAATCTCTGCACTGCTTTGCGAGCTCGGATGTTAGCTTGCGGTTGCCTGAGGCATGCACCAAACCACGCTGGCGAATTAGCTCAAGAGTTTTCGAAGATAGTCGATTTTTTGTGGCTATCTCTCTCTTGGCGTTCCTTGCACATCCATGGAGGTGCTCAACCAGTCGATCGTATTCCTCGTCAATGTTGTCAACAATGGCATCTTCCCATGTTGCCGCAATAGTACCAAAGAGTTCCCAGTTGGTGGTCATTCTGGGAGTTCTCTTTTTGAACTTTGCAGCCCTTTCTTTCTGCTCTTTGAAGTAGAATTTTGCACAAAGGAGACGGTGGTCCGATCCCGTTCGAAATTTTGGGACAACAGCGACATCAGTCAGGCAAAACTGTCGATTGAATATAATGTGGTCTATTTCGTTGTGGAATCGTCCACTGGGAGACTCCCATGTCCATTGTTTAGATTCTGCCTTCTGGAACTGTGAGTTACCATGAAT